CGGGATTTTACCGTGTACCGTTGCATCCCTAATACAAACATGTTCTTTTTGTATTTTGTGCCTCTCACTGTAACATCACTGGCCACCTCAGTGTTCATAGGCTCAAAGTTCATATTTGAAACTGAGCGTCTGATGTCTTCATTGTAATCACCTGGGCAAAACTCTGTGCTTTTCTATACTTCAATGTCTTGTGGGAAGTAGCTCCCAGCATACAGATATGCCTGAAGAAGCTGATGCTTCTCAGCGAGTGTTCGACACAAATTCTTAAAGTTATGTGATTTGCGAGCACACTGTTTAAAATAGGAGTGTTTGCTCTCAAATCGCAGTGTCCACAAACGAATTAGAGGGCCAAAGTGAAAAATCAGGTCAGGATAGTGACTGATGTAATGGTGTTTTGGTCTGAGGGGATGATTGGGAAAAGACTGCCATCGAGTATGCAAATACTCATCAATTAGAACCTGTAAGTAAGCTATCTGACCAGTGGACACAGCTTGGGCACATACAAGTTCTACTATTTCTCGTAGTTGCAAAACCATCTGCAAAGTCTCTTTTTCAGATGGGTTTACAATTTTGTCTCCAATCAATCCTGGCAACATCCTAAGAAAATACCAATTTTGAACTGCATGGCCAGAAAGTTTGTCACTCCCTGGAACAACATCACTGGGTTTGTTGTTCGCATCATTACCAAAGTACGTTAAATGATTTATTCGTCGATTTAACTCCTGGTAAGTGAACAGCTTCTCCACTGTGACAAAATTCTTAATGTACAATGCTAAATCATATGATGCAACACCTTCAAAAATATCATGTCCCAGACAAACATGAAAGTAACGTAGTCCATTAAACACAGAGTCAAATTTGACACCTCCAGTGGCATTGGATGTGGCATTACTTGTCTGACTTTGAACAAGATCCCTATACGACTGTAAAGTACGTTTACTTGCTTTGAACAAGGGATGTCTTTCTTTTTTGATCAGTTTTAAGTTTTTGTGAATTACAAGTCTCAAAGAGATTTTCACTGTGCAAAATTTCCAAAATAGCATATGTCTGCTTCTGCAACCGCCAATGCACTCAATTTTTCTCTCAATTTAAAAAGTAGGTGCGAGTGACTCATTTCATGAATTTCCTGAAGGTGATCAACAATTATTTGAACAGTGGAGGATGGAATCAGACATTTGACTGCAATTTGAGATCAAATAGAACTAGATGTCTCAAAAACTGATCTTCGTCTACACTTTCATCAAAGGTGTCTTGTTCCACACCATCAGTATCAGTATCACTGCAAAGAAAGTCCTGTGGCATGTCATGATGCTGTTCAGAGCACGCATGTATGCTATGAGGAAGTGCAACTGAATCAATCAGGTTTACCTCTGAACAATCATAGTGTTTTCTAGATAAATGCGCTGTAAAAGTGGACACAATTGAAAAAGACTTGTCACATTGCTGAAATGGACATGAAACGCTTCTCCCCTCTCTAATGTGAGCTTTAAGATGCTGATAAAACGTACTCATAGTGTCACACCTGACTTGACACAAGTCAACATGACACGTTAACTCAAATGAAGTCAATGGCATAGATTTGAGCTTAGATTTCCCCTCTTTGTGTCGATAACAGTGAGTTTTGAAAGCTGAAAATTTTTGAAACTCTTATTACAAGCAGAAAATGCACTATTAAACCTGACTTTCGCAACATGAATATGAATGCGCATGTGTCTCACAAATGCAGTTAAAGTACAGCATGTGTGTGCACAAAGTTTGCAAGTAAACATTTTACACTATGGAAGAGCACAATCCAGCTATCAAAACACAGACATGCGTTTTTTAACTTTGAGGAACAAGTTCAAATTAAAACTTAAGTGAATGGCCCCTGTTATATCGACGACTTAATGTACTTAACGTTAGTTGGAGTAAATTTATAGAGTCCGAAAGTATTCTGTTAAAATGATTGTGCTCATATACTGTACAAAGCCAAAATAATAACCCTGACATTTAATAAGTTCATATAACTTCAAATGAGACAGTTACCCAGGGGGCAAAACACCTGTTTTTTAGGAAATCAGACATGGGCTGCTGTAAAAGGTTGTCATATAAAAATGAAATCTACGATGTCTGAGGATCACAACCTGGGTGGACAACCCGGTGAACAAGCTGCTGGAAACTTGTAATTAGGGTCAAAACAATGCTACCTCAAATTCTGCTTTAACTCCCCGGAATCACCCAAACATGCTAAAACGGTTTGATTATATTCATGAATCCTGAGCCATATCTCCCTGGTACTTTATGCTAGAAACAAACTGAGCATACCGTTCAAAAGAGTGGAAGATAAGCTTTCATCTGATGCATTGACTGTACATGTAATTAGAAAGTAAGAGTGAACAATGCCTCTTAATTCATAGGTAGGCAAAAAAAAAAGAAAAAAAATATATAACATTCCATTTGTAATCGGTAACATTCTTTACCCTTTGTTGTTGTTAAAATAAACAAATTACCATGTGAAGTTAACTTTTACTAGATGAAATCATATTTTGATCATTTTCACTAACCATACAGTCCCTATGGTCCATAACAAATTTAGAGGGAATTCAATTTCAAGCCTATAATAGCCTGTCAATTCAAACAAGTTCCAAGAAAGAAGTTAACCATTAACTGATGTTTATGTATGTACAGTATATAGTTTGCATATTTATGCAATATATATATTATTTGTATTGCAATGTCTAGTATTTGTAATATTCTTTCACAAGTGGGATAGCTTTATTCTATCAAAAAAAAAAGGATTTGAGGATTTTGGGTTAGGCTGGTTACTGAGTGTGAGACAAAGGTACTGACAACTAAATGTTGAAATACTAAAACACACAGGAATCATGTGTGGAGTAGTTTTAAAAGTATTTAATGATTAAAACTGTTACATTAAGCAGCGATTTGTAAAAATAATAATAATAATAATTAATGAAACAGATTACAATTCAGGGTGATACCTAATTTATATAATAATGTTTATACAATTTGTTTTTGCTGTTTTCGGAGTCACTGCTGCTGTCGCTGCTCTCTAGTGTTTCAGGATGCTGAACAACTCAGCATGCAGCATGCAACCCCTGGCAATGGCATCCTATGTAGCATGGAATTGCCCTCTTTGCACAGGAGCAGTTCTTCTGACAACCTTTAACACAACCACATATATTACCATGGCCAATGACACAGGCCAGACAGGCTGTGTAGATGGAATTGGAACTTCAACTGCTTGGCCCTCATCCAGAAATCATCCAAAATTCCTGAAGGGGGGAATTTCTGGCTTGGCAATATCTGCATTCTTGTCAATGATGCTTGCCAGAGCTGCCCGTTTAAGGTGGAAGAGAAATGCGTTTTCAGTCGGAGGAAGTAGCTTTAAGAGTGTTGATTTGTTGTTCAATAACTTGTATGCTCTCAGTGTCCCCAGATCAGAATCTTCAAAGTGATCAGCTGAGCATGTATACACATCTATGATGAGGCCTCGTGCCTGGTGAAGCAGGTAATCTGTTATGTTATCAGTTGTATTTTGACCAAACTCTTCAAGTGCAGGTATGTCCATTCTCATGCTGCTTTTGAACCAAGACTTCTTACCAGTGAAATAAGGATAACTAGTTGTATCTCTTCCACTAAGACTGTGGACAAATGGCATAGCACAGCATAGTGAAGGTCCCAGTGCTGCTACCATTTCATGAATGGGCAGATAGGCATTCTCTGTTGTTCTCACCCACAGCTCTGGGAGAGTACTGAGGTATGTTGAACCATAGTACAGGCACATGGCAATGATTTCTGTGTCATTGGCATGGATGACAACTCTGCCAACTCCTTCATTCTGGACACTGTAGAGGGTGTGGAGTATTGTCCTTGTGTCTGCCTCCTTCTGTGTGGACTCAAGAGCAGGAACATCCCTGACAGAACCATCTGCAAGCACAACGGTCTTTGTCTCTTCTTTAAATCCACCACCCAGGTAGATACGAGTCAGGCCAATTATAGGAGGCTTGAGTTGTTCATGCTCACACCACCTCTCACAGAGGAATTGAAGGAGATTTGCTTTATTGGCTGATACAGAAAAAAACTCCTGTGGATCTGGAGCTGTGAACTGCTCACTAACTTCATATACTTTGGCAGATTTTTGTGTGTACCTCCGGCTTTGCTCAGCAGACTTAAGGCTTGGTCCACTGTATCTGTCACAACAGAAGTGTATAATCTCAGTGCCAACAGGTACATCATTCATCAGCATTTTTTTTATATCTATCAGCAATGTGTCCAAATGTTTCACCTTTGTGAAAAGACCAGTGGCGTACGGCACACATAGCGTCGATGACAACTGATGTTTTTTTCCTTCACATGTGTTAAAGTTAACAGATCATTGCCAGTGGTGGAGAACTTAACATTATTGACTGGACTGGTACCAAGGCGAGCTTAGTGAAGATCCTTTGAGGCAGATCAGGAATGATGGTCACTCTAGTCTCCTCTTTCAGGATCTTCACTAAGCTCACCTTGGTACCAGTCCTCATATTGCCATCTTCCTGGAAGAGGGATGGGGGGGAAGTCACTGCACTCATGTTTGCCAATAAAGTCAATAATGTTGAGTTCTCCACCACTGGCAATGATCTGTTAACTTAAAAATAAAAAAAAAATTAAAATCTGCCAAAGTATATGAAGTTAGTGAGCAGTTCACAGCTCCAGATCCACAGGAGTTTTTTTCTGTATCAGCCAATAAAGCAAATCTCCTTCAATTCCTCTGTGAGAGGTGGTGTGAGCATGAACAACTCAAGCCTCCAATTGGCCTGACTCGTGTCTACCTGGGTGGTGGATTTAAAGAAGAGACAAAGACCGTTGTGCTTGCAGATGGTTCTGTCAGGGATGTTCCTGCTCTTGAGTCCACACAGAAGGAGGCAGACACAAGGACAATACTCCACACCCTCTACAGTGTCCAGAATGAAGGAGTTGGCAGAGTTGTCATCCATGCCAATGACACAGAAATCATTGCCATGTGCCTGTACTATGGTTCAACATACCTCAGTACTCTCCCAGAGCTGTGGGTGAGAACAACAGAGAATGCCTATCTGCCCATTCATGAAATGGTAGCAGCACTGGGACCTTCACTATGCTGTGCTATGCCATTTGTCCACAGTCTTAGTGGAAGAGATACAACTAGTTATCCTTATTTCACTGGTAAGAAGTCTTGGTTCAAAAGCAGCATGAGAATGGACATACCTGCACTTGAAGAGTTTGGTCAAAATACAACTGATAACATAACAGATTACCTGCTTCACCAGGCACGAGGCCTCATCATAGATGTGTATACATGCTCAGCTGATCACTTTGAAGATTCTGATCTGGGGACACTGAGAGCATACAAGTTATTGAACAACAAATCAACACTCTTAAAGCTACTTCCTCCGACTGAAAACGCATTTCTCTTCCACCTTAAACGGGCAGCTCTGGCAAGCATCATTGACAAGAATGCAGATATTGCCAAGCCAGAAATTCCCCCCTTCAGGAATTTTGGATGATTTCTGGATGAGGGCCAAGCAGTTGAAGGCAATTCACATTTGGCTAAGCCACGCCCCTAGAATGTAGATTGACCAATCACAGCCCAGCCAAGAACCAGCTCCCACAGAGGTCCGACACTTTTTGACAGCGCTCCATTGACTTTCAACACAGGCGTCTCATATTTTTGGTCTCGGCAGGCTATTACCGTCGTAGTTTTATCCAAAATATGGTTAAACGTTGTGCCTCGGGCATTTGCAACACAGATACGCGTTTCCCAGAGAGGTTGGAGGGGGGTGTCCGTTTTTTCCCTTCCCAAAACCGAAGTAAAATCCTGACAGTGACAAGTCTCGTGTTTGGATTAAACTGTATGGACGTCCTCAGTCAGCTAAACCCCGCAAATATCAACAAGCACATCTTTTTTGCTTCTAACCTTACTGTGAGTGTGAAGTTATACTAGTTAGACCGTTTTATAATGTTTTAGGTTATGATTTCGGTTCTCATACTGGTTGTTGATACGCTAGCACATGCTGCTAATAAATACAATGTTATACAGTACTCGTGTAGTCCGTTTGCTTTGTAATAACGATTATAGAAGTGAATAGAGACCTACCCAGCTTTGCATGAACAGTGTTGCTCCCTGATATTGTTATAGTCCCAGCCTCCGTCTCCATTAGTAGGAAATGCGATGGTTCATTTTTTTGACTGTGACCGGTAACGTTATGCTTTTGCCTCTATTTTGGATGCCTTGTTGTTTCTTGCGTTTCACCTGTGTGTCTTGAATATAGCCTCTGAACGCATATTGCAGCCCCTTTTGCCTACTTCTATCAGACACTTTATATGCTGCTTTATAAAAGTTTGATACCATTTCAGCAGGAACAGCTGTTACAGCATAAGCCATGCAGAGCGCAGATGAAGTTTGACGGATGTAGCAACAGTAACTAAGGGGGGCGGGGCTTAGCCAAAGGTGAATTCCATGCTACATAGGATGCCATTGCCAGGGGTTGGCAACCAAATGTAGTAGGATACAGCATGCTGAAACACTAGAGAGCAGCGACAGCAGCATTGACTCCGAAAACAGCTATACAACTTGTATAAACATTATTACAGAAATTAGTTATCACCCTGAATTGTAATCTGTTTGTCTATTTCATTAATTATTATTATTGTTATTGTTTTTTTTTTTTTTTTTTTACAAATTGCTGCTTAATGTAACAGTTTTAATCATTAAATACTTTTAAAACTACTCCACACATGATTCCTGTGTGTTTTAGTATTTCAACATTTAGTTGTCAGTACCTTTGTCTCACACTCAGAAACCAGCCTAACCCAAAATCCTCAAATCCTTTTTTTTTTTTGATAGAATAAAGCTATCCCACTTGTGAAAGAATATTACAAATACTAGACATTGCAATACAAATAATATATATATTGCATAAATATGCAAACTATATACTGTACATACATAAACATCAGTTAATGGTTAACTTCTTTCTTGGAACTAGTTTGAATTGACAGGCTATTATAGGCTTGAAATTGAATTCCCTCTAAATTTGTTATGGACCATAGGGACTGTATGGTTAGTGAAAATGATCAAAATATGATTTCATCTAGTAAAAGTTAACTTCACATGGTAATTTGTTTATTTTAACAACAACAAAGGGTAAAGAATGTTACCGATTACAAATGGAATGTTATATTTTTTTTTTTTTTTTTTTTTGCCTACCTATGAATTAAGAGGCATTGCTCACTCTTACTTTCTAATTACATGTACAGTCAATGCATCAGATGAAAGCTTATCTTCCACTCTTTTGAACGGTATGCTCAGTTTGTTTCTAGCATAAAGTATCAGGGAGATATGGCTCAGGATTCATGAATATAATCAAACCGTTTTAGCATGTTTGGGTGATTCCGGGGAGTTAAAGCAGAATTTGAGGTAGCATTGTTTTGACCCTAATTACAAGTTTCCAGCAGCTTGTTTACCGGGTTGTCCACCCAGGTTGCGATCCTCAGACATCATAGATTTCATTTTTATATGACAACCTTTTACAGCAGCCCATGTCTGCTAAACCCCCTTTGCCCCCTGGGTAGGTGGCACGGTACATGAAAAAAAATAAAAGACAGTGTTTTAAGAGTTCCTCTTTTTTTCTTTTAAAAGGTAGAATTTTAGTAAGAGCTACAAAAGTTGGCAGTTGATAAATGCAAGTTAATTTCTTTGTGTAAATAAGATTTCTGTGACAGAAATGCACAAGTTCTTGTAGACATAGTGATACACATTCTCCTTTTTTTGCCAAATAAACGTAAAGCATGTCAATGTCTTCTCTCTTGCTGTATCAAAATCTCACCTAGCTTTCCTCTGAGATAGTCCCAAAATGTGCTTAAAGTCAAAGAGTCAAATTCAGTTTGTGCATGATTGCATGAATATCATTTTTTTTATACTGTATCCTAAAGTGTGGCTAATTAAGCTATATATCACATGCTGAAGTACATAGAGTGTTAAAGATTAAAAGAAAAAAATAACAAGAACCGTACAGAACCGAAAACCGTCGGTTTCGTGAACCGTGCCACCCCTACCGTGTACACAACCGTTGGAAAGTTTGAATATTATGATTTTTTTGTCATGTTTTCATGCTCACCAAGGGTGCATTTATTTGATCAAAAATACACTAATGCTGTAAAAAATAAATATTACATTTTTAAATGAACTATATTATATATTCATCTACTTTAGTAATATAATTTATTCCTGTCTTAGTGTAACATGATCCTTTCGAAACCATTCTAATATGCTGATTCAAAACGTATCTTCTTATTATCTTATGTTGAAAACAGTTGTGCTGTGTGTTTTTGTAGAAAGTCGATACTGTTTTTTGATCAAATTAAGCTTTTGGTGAGCATAAGAGACTTTTTTTTCAAAAACATTAAAAAAAATCTTGATTCCAAACTTTGTTTCTGTTGTGTGTGTGTGTGTGTGTGTGCTGTTGTTTTATGTTTGTTACATTTACCACATTTAGATAATTGTTACGCGTGTTTTAAGTTCTATTCTATTCTAGTGTTTTAATGATTATAAATACTGGCAGAAATTAACATGATACCATTTATGCATAATATATTTTCCATTTAATTGAGCATATTATCAGTAACAATATACAGTCCCACTGAGTAGTTTTTCCATTTATTAGATGATAGCAGCTTCATTGTAGGGGGTTAAAAGTAGAAAAAGGAAATTGTCTATCTTTATCGACCACAATGAGATGTGAATTATCAGAACCTACATTGAAGATTTCCTACATATTGATACTAAAACTTTGATAATCTCTTGACTGATTCAAGAAGCAGAAGCAGACCAGACAGGGTTCCCATAATGAGTTCTGCTGTGGTTCACCCAGAGCCGTCAAGAGTTTAAGTTTTGCTGTCTGGTGAGGTAATCTACCTCCTCTCTGATGTGGTCTTGGAAAAAACTTAATGCTCATTTACTTAGCTTCTATATATAGTAAAATACACCACTGTCACTTTCGTAATGCGATACCATGTGATTTCCATATGTTGAATCCCAGCAGTTGCATAGCTACGCCTGTTTAAGCCCATTGTCTAACTTAACCATTATGGAACAAAAATACAAATGCCTCAAACCAGTAGTCCACACACACACACACACACGAGTGTCTCCTATAAAATGATCTCATAGGCCATTTGTTGCAAGCACTGGCTATGTTGTTCCGCCCATATTCACATAAAATAAACAGAAAGATAAGCTCATGATTTCAGCAGTCAAAAAGCACAAGACATTTCAAGTCAATGGAGCATGAGGATGCTTATTTTGCATAAAATGAACAATGCAAATCAATGTACTGGATGATTTATGAATTTGTGTTGTCTCATGTTTAGTTTGTGAACATGGTTAAAATAGAAGCCAGGATTGGATGGTATCTTGTTGGTACAGTATCTAGATTAGGCAGATTACTATGGGATGAAGATAGTTTCAAAATGATTAATCAACTTGATTAATGATGCAGAAATGTTTTATTATCCACAACCAAATTCCTTTCACATTGCGTGTGCAATGTTGCAATATGCTTTTGTATTAGTGTATCATAGTTTGTGCATGCAACAAAGATGATGTGCATGTGTGGATCGGGTGACACGTGCATTCATTGGCGTCTTTTCTGAGTCAATCTTATTTGATTCATTTGGATTTTGAGACTTTCTTTTCGCTGTTTTTAAGCATTTCATAACCCACACACAAACAACTATAAATGAATAGGACTGGTGCTAATCATTAATGTGTGCACAGCTACACATCTATTTGACAAATTCACAAATGTGCATCACTACATTTAAACTAATACAATACAACTTGTGTGTACAAAATCCAGAATCACATGAATGTGCAGCATTTTTTATAAATAGAGACAGTTGTTAATACAAAACCTTGATTTTGTATTAATGTAGCTCAGAATTTGTGCGCGCAACAAGTAAGATGTGCAATTGTGGATCAGGTGACACGCGTGCATTCATTGACACGTTTCTGAGTCGATCCTATTTGATTCATTTGGATTTTGAGTCTTTCATCTATACGCATTTTGAGCTATCTGCGTACGTCTACGCCGTTAAAGGTTCTCTGAGCGATCCTGGGTGTTGACGTTCTGAATATTTTCAAACAAATCGGAGGCTAGCTCATC